AAACTGGCTGGCTGGCTAGGCATGGTGGTTTTGCTCTTTTAATCCTGGCACTTGGGAGGCAGATGCATGTGATCTTGAGTTCAAGGCCATTTTCGTCTACATAGTGAGTTCCAAAACCAGCGGGGCTACATAGTGAGACACTATCTCAAAAAGAAAGGGGAAGAAAGGAAGAAAAGACTGTCTCAAAAAAACAAGCAAACCACACAAACCAAACAACCTCCTCCCTGCCAAACAGCAACAATGAAGCATACTCTTTGAAACCACAATTCCACTGTTAGATGAATAAATATTCAACACACAACAACCAATACAGAAAGAATGTCTGCAGCAGGATTTGTGATGGCACAAACTGGAAACTTTCTAGTTGTCCATCAACAATACCACAAATATATAGCAAAGATTCACCCCACAATCAGAAGCAGTACAATAGAAATAATGAATTAATTGCAGTTACACACATCACAGTGAATCTGAAGAAGCCAGACCCAAAAGAGAGCACAGTAAATTATTCTGTTTATGTTAAGCTAAAAAACAGGAAGTAGTCATCTATATTGTCAGGGTGGTATTTTACCTTGGAAGGGGAATAGTAACTGGATGGGGAAGCTATAGGAACTTTGGGAGTATAGTCAGCCTTATTTATTCTCTATAGTTTGCAAATCCACAAATTCAACCAGCCATGGATCAAAGTATGAGGGAAAAGAATAGTATCTATACTGAATTATAGACTTTTTGGTTGCTGTTACCTAAACAATATATCACAACTATCTAGATCACATTCACACTGTATTATGTAAGTGATCCAGGGAGATTTTAAAGTATATGGGAGGATGTGGATGGTTTAAGTACAAATACTTCATATACAATTTTATGTAAGGGACTAGAGCGTCTATGAACTTCAGTATCCTATGAAAGTCCTGGAGTCTGTTCCCATGTTCCCATGGTTACTGAGACTGTACTTGGAATGTTCTGCTTTTTGAAGGAGTGCTCATTTGCCCATGTAATAAGAAAAAATGCTCTGAGCAGTACTTAACACTGTGTACATCTTTCCCTTGCATATTATGTTGTGAATATTACATCTTAATAACATTTTGCTTTTTAAAAAAGTGAGCTAGGGCTGGGCATATAGTTGAGTAGTAGTAGCATACTTGCTCCTCAATTCAATCTCTAGCACCCAAACCATGAAATAAATAAATCACATGCACAAATTTAAAAGGTGCATAGTAGATTAAATTACTTAGAAAGAGGAACACCTCTGGCCTTGTATTACAAAACACGGTTCAGTACTGAATTGCACTGTTATGCCCAAGTGCCAAAAAGCACCTACCACTGGCTAGTGCCACCTTTTTACTTGGGCACTTGAACCTGCTGAGCCATTTCCTAACCATAGGATGCTTTGTCTGTATATAGCTGGCTCCATTCTCAGCGCTTTGACTTTAAGTCTGGGAAGAGTTCTTATTAGTTTAGCTGTAAGGGAGGCTGGGAAAGTAAGTGTTCAACATTTTCAGTTTGTGTAGCAGCCAGTGATGGGGGCCAGCAGTTAGACCGTTTTGTTGCTGTTTGTTTCACTGTGTAGCCTTGGCTGTCCTGGAACTCTGCCCTGTAGACCATGCTGGACTTGAACTCAGAGAGATCTTCCTGCCTCTGCTGGGATTAAAGGTATGTGCCACCACTGCCACGGCTCAGTTATTTCACCTATACAGGCCCAAAGAATGCAGTCCTTAAAAGATTTAAGCCGTCAGAAGGAAGTGGATGTCAAGGGCTAGAAACAATAGAAGCCACTGAATGGAGTGTAGCCTTTAGGCCTAATGGAAAAAGGTTCAACCAGATTAGAGGGTGTGTGCTAGGAAAATGGTCTGAGTGGTATTGAAGCCATAGGGTGGGACAAGATTGAAGATTACTTTGAAAGTCAGGCGGGGATTTAAATATAGTTTGAGAACCAGTAAAAGTGTTTAAATGGGGGTGTTGTGGAGAAGGAAGTGGTATCTAGCAGTACTTTTCAGGGACAGCTCAGAGGGGTCTGTGGTAGCATAAGGATAGAGTGGTTGATTGGGAATAAAAGTAGGAAGAAAATGCCAGGCTTTGTTGTTCTATTTCAAGGTATGGCGTTGAGAGAAGGAGCCCATTTGGAGGAGGAAGTGAAAGAATGAATCTGGATTTTGAAATTGTTGAGTTGATAAGCCTGGGAGTGAAAGCAACCGCTATACTGGTGGACTTGGAGAGGGATGGGTGGGTATGAGTGGGTTCTCAGGGCATTCCTGTTTCCAGTCTTCAGGAGATTGGTTAGCTAACTTGAGTTTGATTGTAAGTGATAAATGTGAACAACAACTTGAACTCTTCTTAACATATTTACTTTCTAACCTTAGGCAAATTGATCCTATTACTATCTTACACAACTTTCTTCCTGTTACTTTAATATCTTTGAGAATATTTGTAGCTTAGGTTAGCTCTGAACATGTAATTAGCCTGCCTTAGCCTCTTTTAAAATTTGTAAAATTTAATTTTATGGGCATAGGTGGTTTGGCTTCATATAAGTCTGTGAATCCCTTGTGTTCCTAGTGCCAGCCTAGACCAGAAGAGGGTATCAGGAGCTGGAGTTACAGGTTGTGTGTCGTGCTCATACTCAAACTCAGGTGGTCTTAGCCACTGAGCTACCTTTCCAGTCCATCCTTTTTTGTAGTATTTTAGATTTGTCTTTTATGTATATTTTTTTTGCATGTGTCTAATTATGTGGCCATAGACGCCAAAGAAGGATCCCTGGAACTGTGAGCTTCCATGTGGGTATTGAGAATTGAACCCCTGTCCCCTGCAAGAACGACAGGTGCTTTTAACCACTCAGCCATCACTGCAGCCTCATGCCTCAGCCTCCTGAATGCTGAGTTTTAAGTGTGCACCTCCATGCTTGGCTTCTCAATTATTTTCATAATAATTTTGAGTGGTTTGAGTAGAAGAGGAGTACCCTTTATTTTTAACATTGATATAAACTAATACATAAAACAATTGTACACAATAAAATGAGGTATTATGATTTTTATGCATATGAGTGTTGTATGATTCTTAAGGAATCAAACTAAACATTGATTCCTGGCATTGTTCACCTCCTTATGGGGAACATTTTAAAAATCCTTTCTTTTTGAAATACTGCTGTTTTCTGTAGTCATCCCCCTGTGTAGTGCATTGAAGCACATCAGGGTTTCTCATTCCTAACTGTCCTAACTATAACTTGGTCTCCATTGATTGGCATTTCTTCACCCCTTCTCATCTACTCTGCTCATCTTGTTGTGATCACAATTCCAGCCTCAACTTCTAAACAACAAAAGAGAGCTGTACACTGATACCTGTAGTAAATACAGGTGCAACACTATTAATAACATAGTAGCAAATTGAACGCAGCAACATATTTAAAAGATCATTTATCATGGCCAAGTATGCAAGGTGGGGCCTTTATACCAAGTGGAGGGAGCAATCACAGGCAAAGGAAACCTCCCGATGATTGGGAAGCAGCACTCTCCAGGGTAGACTTGGATCTGCTTGACAGTTCCAGTCCATGTCTGTGGAGACAAGAACGGTGGCAAAAACCTATGTTCTTTCTGAATCCTTGCCAGTACTTAGTCCCTGTCAGCAACCACAAGCTTTAGCATAGTGTTTGGGCTTGCTAAGGCAGCTAGGTCTCTGGAGCATGAAAGGGAGGCTTTTGTGTACAGTTTGAAAGCTGGTGCTGAGGCATGCCAGGTTTGTATTCCTCTCAGGAGTTTTCTCTTTAGTCTAATAACATGTTCGTGCCTGTAGATGACGCTGGATTGGTCGGATAGTATTAACGGATGTGCGGCTATTTTAACAGGAAACAACTTTCCCCTTGGGTAATGTATGAGATAGGCATCCCCTTGGGTAATGTATGAGATAGGCAAGACAGTTCTCAGATGGGTGCCTGTTATTTATGCTTCAGGTGTATTTGCTGTCAGATTTCTCCCTTCTCCATTAGAATATTGAAGTTTTAAGCGCCTGAGTTTAATAGGTAGTGCCTGAAACGTTTCTCCATTTACAGGAGGAGCAGGTTGAAAATTTAGGAAGTAATTGTGGGTCCATGTGAAAGGTTCATCAGCCCTTTTATTCAATTCAGGTTTTGTTTGTTTGTTTGTTCATTTTGTTTTGTTTTGTTTTTTGGTTTTTCAAGACAGGGTTTCTCTGTGTAACAGTTTTGGCTGTCCTGGAACTCATTCTGTAGACCAGGTTGACCTCAAATTCACTGAGATCCACCTGCTGCCTCCCAAGTGCTGGGATTCAAGGCTTGCCACCTCCTGACACTCAGTTCAGTTTTAGAGTGAAATAAATTTATGATCTCTGCGTTTGTAAAGATTGACTTTTCTTACAGATCTAGGCTCTAACAGCCAGCCTGCTGGGATGTTGCTTCTCTGGTTTGTGATACATGTGTTCAGAAAAGCTAACCCTGATCACATCTTCATTTGGGAAAACTTCCATGTGTCCTAGGTCATACAGTTGATAACGGAATTCTGAGGAAGAGCATAAGACATCTGATTTATCATTATTGCAGAGAAAGTTTCACTGATAGGTATGAGAGAAGCAGGAAGTTTAATTCCAAACTTCCCCCTACCTTAGTTACCCCCAAAACTAAAAGAAGTATTGGATGTAGCTCAGTAGGGCACATGCCAATGCATGAAGCCCTGTTTGATCAACAGCACTGCAAGAAACAACCAAGAACAGCAAAAAGGCAACTGTAATTGTCAGAAACTGAACTACGGCACAAGTGAATATGGGACTCGAAAGTCTGCCATCCCCTAAGCATCAAGGATCCAGCAACCACGTATTTCCAGAAGAGAAAATGCTGCCTTTATTACTAGTGCTCTGTTAAAACCTACGAAGAGAGTAACCACCAGGATACCATATACTTGATTTAATATATGGGTTTCATTTTAGAGTTGTACTTCAGCAATGCCTAGAATTTATTTTTATCTTATATTGAACAATGTATTTTTTTAATCTAGGAGCTGTTCAGTCCTATGCACTGGAACTTAATTTGAAAGATTCCAAAGGTACTTGCCTTTTTGCAAAATGGGAGATGAATTTCACAGTATCATATGAAACGACAGACAAAACCTTTGTAAGTACACAATTGTCATTTTTGAGATGTGCTTATGTTTTCTGTTTGCTTTGGTGGTGGTGCTGGGGTTTGGACCCAGTCTCTTAGGTGCTAGGTAAGCTCTTTGTCACTGTACTTCTTCCCAGGCCCATATTTGTCTTGAGTTTTATAGTTGGGATTTATTTACATTTAGACTGTTTTATTTTGTTTGAGACAGGGTTTCTCTGTGCAGCCCTACGTGTCCTGGAACTCTGGACCAGGTTGGCCTCAAAGTCAGAGATTTGCCTGCCTTTGCCTCTTGAGTGGCAAGATTAAAGGCATGCCCCACCACAGCTGACTTTATGATTAGATGTTTTTACCCTTTAGATATGTGTGCACAAAATAAGATTTCATGGTAATTGACCTAACACTTAAATCCTATTTTTTAAAAAGTATTATACTCTTCAAAGTATACTGTTTCAGGTTGGGGTGTATACTCCTAACTTTTTTGGTTTTTTTGGAGTTTTCCTTGGAAATGGTTATATGCCAATGAGGAAAGACTTCACAGTGTTTCAGTTTTAACCACTTCTAAAATAATATACTGCATTAAAGCTTGAATAACTTTTTTTCATTTTTAAAAAATTTTGATTTTTTTTAAAAAAAATTATGTGCATATATGGATGTGTGGATTTAAAATTTTTTTCTATGTGTGTTTGTGTATCACTTGTTCCTGGTGCCAGAGAAGGACAGAGAAGGGCATTGCCTTCCCAGGAACTGGAATTATAGACAGTTGTGAGCCCACACTGTGGATTCTGTGAATACAGTCTGGGTCCTCTGGACAAGCAGCCAGTGCTCTTAACCACGGAGCCATCTGTCTAGTTCCCAGTTTCTAAGAACTAGTTTGTCTGCCTTTTGTTGTTGTTTTCTTGCTCTTTTTGCCTTATTTTCATTTTGTTAAGACGCTCTCTATAGCATCACTTACAAAACAAACAAACAAAACAATACTATACAAACTGGGAAATTGCTCAGTGGTAGAACACTTGCCCATTGTGAATGAGACCCTGAATTCCAAATCCAGGTCTGCAGAAATGAGCAAGCAGCTAGATTAGAAGAGTCCAGGGAAGTTTTCATATTTTCTTTAGACATAATGTGAACTTGTCCAGACACCTGGTATGTAACTAAAGAATCTGAGATTGGTTTTCATAGCACACCAGGCAAAGGTGTGAGTCTCACTGCTATTTTTTTCTCACTCAGTCCTAATTTTTTTTTAATCTTTTAGAAAACTGTAACCATTTCAGAACCTCACAATGTGACCTATAATGGAAGCAGCTGTGGCGATGACCAGAGTAGTGCTAAAATAGCTGTGCAATTTGGATCCGCTGTCTCTTGGAATGTGACTTTTACCAAGGAAGCATCTTATTATTTTATTGACAACATCTTGCTTTCCTACAACACTAGTGATAACACAACATTTCCTGGTGCTGCCAATAAAGGTAATCTTCATAAATGATTTATTTTATATTCTCTTGCTTTTGTTAATATCAAAAAGATAACAAAATAATCATTAATATGCCCACCCATCTTGTTCTTTTTTTTTTCTGGTTTTTCGAGACAGGGTTTCTCTGTGCAGTTTTGAAGCCTGTCCTGGAACTTGCTCTGTAGACCAGGCTGGCCTCGAACTCACAGAGATTCACCTGTCTCTGCCTCCCAAGTGCTGGGATCAAAGGTGTGCACCACCAACGCCTGGCTCTGTCTTCTTAATAAAAATGAAAGATATGTTTTCTTACCCATCTTAGTCCTGATTTCTTGAATAGAACAGTGTTGGGCACAAAGTGATATTGACTGTCTATTGCTAGAGTGTTTTACTCTATACCATTGATTACCTGATTGACACACGCAGTGTTTTACAGTGTGTAATTTATAGCAACCATGGGAAGTAAGTAAAGGGAATGAGGCTTGGTGACTTTCCCAAAAGGCTCCAAATATAGTGAGTGAAGAGATAGTGTTTGAAGCGAAGCTTACTGACCTGTAGAGTTTATACACTTATTACAGGTACTCAGCAAATGCTGAATGAATGAGAAAATTCTTTACTAATTGAAAGTATACAAGTTCAATAATTTGAGAATCGGAGAAATACCTCATCTTCAGATCTCTTTACTATTAGGATGTACTTTTATTTGAAAAGTAAATAGTGATTAAAGTTAACTAAGGTCAACATTTGCTATTTTGAGACAACTTAGATAATTAGGCCAATCTTGTCATTCTTTTTTTTTTTTTTTTGGTTTTGTTTTCCTTTTTGTTTTTGTGAGACAGGGTTTCTCTGTGTAACAGTCCTGGCTGTCCTGGAACTCTTGTAGACCAGGCTGGCCTTGAACACACTGAGATCCACTTGCCTCTGCCTCCCGGGTGCTGGAATCAGTGGTGTGCACCAGTGCTGTCTTGTTATTCTTCAAACAAATACGCATTAAGGTATTTTAAAAGTGTGTATAGTGGAGATTGTAAGTTTTATCTCTCACGCAAGTGAGACTGACTTAGAATGTACACTGCTCTTATCGCAGCACTCTGGAGTATTGAGATTGTGGGTGTTTGCATTCGACGATGTTCATTTTATAGCACTGATTTCATTAGTGACACAGTTCTCTCCTTTCAACCCCCTCCTGCGAGATTAGATTAGTATGGTGTCTTGAGTAGTTAGCGCCTCTCACATGTCTGCTATTCTGACTGCATAAACACTGACAGATCAACAGCAGGTGCCTAGACCTGGGATTTAGTAGCACCTTTGGACTGGTGGATGGAAGAATCATGCTGTAAAGACTCCAGAGTGAGCCAGGTGCTGATGGCCTACGCCTCACAGAGGCAGGTGAATGTCTGAGTTCAGAGCCAACCCGTTCCACAGAACCAAGTTCCAGGATAGGCAGGGCTACACAGAGGAACCCTGTCTCCACCCTGCCCCCTCGCAAAGACTCAGAAATGAATGAGTTTCATGTTCAACTTCAGAGCTAGCACAAAGTAAGACTTGAAAATCAAACCCAAGCTTTTTAAAATTATTTTTTACACATGAACTGCTGTTTTCTGTCCCTCCCTCTCTCCCAGTCTCCTCACCTCCAGCCCTCTGTTTCTCTTCAGAAAAGAGGTGTGGGGGGGGGGGAGTCTTCCATGGCTATAAGCCAGCCATGGAATGTCAAATTCAGTGAGGCTAGGCACCTCCTTTTATTAAGACTGGATGAGGCAATCTAGTAGGAGGAAGGGGTCCCAAAAGCAGGTAACAGTGTCATAGGCAGCCCCTGTTCCTACTGTTAAGTTTCCCACAAGAACACCAAACTATACAACTGTCACATGTGCAGAGGGCCTAGGTCAGTCCCATGCAGGCTCCTTGGTTGTCTCTTCAGTCTCTGTGAGCCCGTGAACCCAGGTTAGTTGATTCTGTGGGTTTTCTTAGCAAATTCAAGTTTTAATTCTGCTAATCTCTTAATTTGAGAGACTAACTGAGGCAGAAGCTTATTGTCTATTTTAGATACTGTCTCTGTGGGTGAGGCATGGTTACATTATGTTTAATAAGTAGGATAAGATTTGTCCTTGACTCTCAAGGGGTTTAGAACTCATTGAGGGAGACAGAGCTTAATTGTATTCCCAAGTGCTAGGGAGAGCAGGGAGCTCAGTCTGAATTTTTTGTTGTTTGTAGCTTCTGTTTGAGTGGGTAGAGACTTTGTAAATCTTTTCTGAGCATGGGAGAAAAGTTCTAGACCCTCTTTCTCAACAACACAAAAGCATACAGTAAATTTAGAATGTAGTATGCATTCTGCAGTTGCCTCTGTGGATCCCTGGGCTGAGTGCCTACTTTCTGAGTATTTTCACTAGTGGTCCTGAGGAGGAGCATAAGGAGAAGAGATCAGAACCGAAGGAGAGAGGTCAGTATATGATGGAGGAGTAAAAGAGCTTGCTGGAGAAATGGGTCCTGAGTTTCAGCTGCTAATGGTAGAATGTAAGTGGAAAAACTTGTGCGGAATGTTTCCACCAGGGGGAAGCAGAGGATATACAGCTGCCATTGGCGAGTTGCCTGATTAAACCCAGGCAGTCTGTATGTGTAGCAGGATGCAAAGACAGTTGGCTCAGTGCAGTGGGCCTCATTATAGGGGTCCTGGGAAGCCAAGAAAGGGCCTTTAGCATGATGGAGTAGGCACTAGGGAAACTGTGGCAGGTTTCCTAAGCCAGAAAATGATACAAGCAAAGCAGAGGGAATGGTTTATAGAGAATATACTGCCCGATTAATTTGGAAGTGAGGAGACTACCAGCAGAGAAGCCAGCTTCAGAGGCTGTTATAATAATCAGGAGATGATGTAATACATGCCCCAACCACGTGGGCAACTGTTAAAGGAAGATAGCTTTAGTCTGACAGATTAGATAAAAATCACTGACATGCTAGCCCCTTCCTTGTTTTTAAACTCTAGTGTTTGATGAATTTTTCTATTACTATCTTCTGTATGATAAAGTATTTATCAAAACTGTTTGGAAATGAAAATACTTTACTTACATGCACTTTAGGGAATTGCCTTTGAAATAATTTAGTATTTTGAACACTAATTTCTAGGCTTAATAATTGAAGTAACTTTGAAGTTGCTATTAAAAATGTTTTCATGATTAGAATACAAAACTAGTGAGAATAATAAGCAGACCTACAGAGACACATTACTCAGAGTTAACTTTTTTTATTTTAGACAGTCTTACTATACAGCCAGCCATCTGAGTGTCCTGGAATTCCCTATGTAGACCAGGTTGGTCTCCAATTCACAGAGGTCTCTTTGCCTCTGCCTCCTGATTGCTGGGATTAAAGGAGTATGCCTGACCTAATAAATGTAATTTTAAGTGGCTGCTTCATTATTTTAAAGAAACAAACTTTACAGATCCACTTTAGGTACCCCTCAGCTTCAATTTCTTCCCTGCTAGAAGCAACCAGCTTTATAACTTTAGGGTGTAGCATTCCTGTGTGTATTATCTATGTTCATAAATAACAGTTGTAATTTTTATATAGTTTCATAGTATAACCCTAATATATGTAGAACTTTTTTTTCCCCATCAGTTTTTTTTTTTATAAGACAGGGTTTCTCTGTAGCTTTAGAGCCTGTCCTGGAACTCACAGAGATTCACCTGTCCCACCTCCTGAATACTGGGATTAAGGGCATGTGCCTGGTGCCTCCATCATTGTTTTTGTCTCACCAAGTAGTTCTGGTTGGCTTGGAACTCAACTATGGAGACTAGGCTGGCATCAAGCATATAGAGATCTATCTGCCTGTTTCCTGAGTTGTGGAAGTAATGGTGTGCACCACCACGCCTGGTTTCCCCTTCATTGTATTTTGAGGTCTGTCTTTATATAGCAAGTTCATATCTGTTCCTTTTTGACAAGAAGGCGACAATTTTAAGAAGATAAATTCAAATTAAAAACAAAACAAAATAAACCCCAAAACCCCTCAAATCTCATCTGGCCATTAGGGGGTGCCAAGATAGCATTAAATGACTACCTCGTTACATGATGAGGGACAGAAGGCTTGTGTTAATGGTCATTAATGCCTTCTTTTCTGCTCCTTCAAGAGACTAAGCCATTTAGATTTGTACGAAATCAGCATTTTAAGGTTTCACTGTAGGCATTCCAGTAAAAACTCTGTTCACAGTGCTGTAACTTCTTTTACCTATAGATTTCCTGAAATGGAATCATCTTTATTTTTCTTTGTCATTCATTCATTCATTTTTTTGGTTTTTTGAGACAGGGTTTCTCTGTGTAATAGCCCTGGCTGTCCTGGAACTTGCTCTGTAGACCAGGCTGGCCTCAAACTCACAGAGATCCTGCCTCTACACCAACCGAGTGCTGGGATTAAAGGCACCCAGTTGAAATCATGTTTAAATTCCATCTAGGAATAAGTTTATAAATAAATTACAGCTGATTAACATACTTGTGGATAGTACCACAAAAATAGAGATTTATCACAAAAAAAAAAATCTGTGTTTACTTCAACTATCTTTTGAAAAATAGTTATTATCACCACTGGTGTGTGTGTGTGTGTGTGTGTGTGTGTGTGTGTGTCTGTGTGTGTGTGAATGTGTACCATAGTGTGTGTGTTGGGGGCGGTCAGAGAAGAACTTTGTGGAGTTAGTTCTCTCATCAAACCAAGTCGCTTTACTCCCTGAGCCATCTCAGCAGCCCAGGGAGGAGGAGAGAGCTGAAGCCAAGCATGAGCTTGAAGTCTCAGTCTTCCAGCTAGCTCTGGAGTGGCAGGGATTTCAGTACTTGCCTGTTTGACTCTACCACCTCATTCATTTTGTGGGGTGCTGGGTATTGAACCTGGGGCTTCTGGTGTACCTGTAGTATACCAGTACTCTATCCACTGAGCTATGTTCTCAGCGCTTGTCCTTTCTTAGAGTCACCAAGGTCTATCCTACCTAGAGAGGCATTTATTTTTTCTCTTTTGGTTTTTTTGAGACAGGGTTTCTCTGTTTGCTTTGGAGCCTGTCCTAGAACTCACTCTGTAGACCAGGCTGTCCTCAAACTCACAGAGATCCACTTGCCTCTACCTCCTGAGTGATGGGATTAAAGGCATGTGCCAACAACACTCAGCAGTAGAGAGGTATTTTAAATTTGACCTTTGTTCCTGCTCGTCACTATCTTAGTGTTGCTAACCCCCTCCTCTCCATTCTCACTTTTTACCTAAGTAGCCCATTGACCTTCTATTTCCCCTGTTAATTAAGAGTTAGGCTTTTTCCTTTAATTCCAGCACTCGGGTGGGTGGCAGAGGAAGGCAGATCTCTCTGAATTTGAGGTCAGCCTGGTCTACAGAGCTAGTTCCAGGTCAGGCACCAAAGCAATACAGAGAAACCCTGTCTTTTGAAAAACAAACAAAGAGTTAGGGTTTTTCTCTGCTTATAACTGCATATTTGTTATAGTCCTTAAAATAAATTAGGTCTTATTTCCTCTTTTAAGCCCTACTCCTAACCAACCTGTCTGTAATTGGTACCTGCTGGTAGTTAGCCAGGAAAAAAAAATATGGACTCCTGTGTTTGTGTGTTCGTGTGTGTGTGTGTGTGTGTGTGTGTGTGTGTGTGTGTGTGTGTGTGTGCTCTTGCTTATTTTGAGAGAGAAAGAGAATAGGGAGAGGAAAGAACATGAAGTTGAGTGGATAGGGAGGTAGAGATGGTCAAGGAGGAGTTGGGAGAGGGGAAAACTTGAGCAAAATATATTGTATAAAAAAAAAAAAAAACTGATGTGGGGCTGTCCAGATCAATCACTCTGTGTGTAAAAGTGCTTGCTGTGCAAGTCTGACAACCTGAGTTGGCTCTCTGGACCCTGTCATAAGAAAGCCATTTCCTGCAGTTTATCCTCTGGCCTTCCCACATGTGTTCAGGTTCATAACCAGCATGCAAATGAGTGCACATGCACCCAAAAGAATTAAAATAATAGCGGATAAAGTGGGAAGCCTGCATGTATGCCTGTTCCCCTCAGTGGCTCGAAGAGGGGGTCAAATCATGTGGGGCTGCAATCAAGCAATTGTAAGCCTCCATGTGGTTGCTGTGAACTCTGGGAGAGCAGGAAGTGTTGTTAACCACTGAGACATCCCTCCAGTCTTGGTGCCGTCTTTCTTAACCCTTCTTACTTGTCTTCAATTCTTGTCTTCCCTGCTCCCCATAGTTTCAGTCACAGCGAACTTGTCATTCCTGTCAACATGTCCCACGTTTGGCATGGGTGGGGTCAGGGGAGGCCTAGAAGAAAAAGAACCTACATTCGTATGTTTATATATTAACAGTTTCTCATGTCTTCCTGGAAATGCCATTGTTAATCTCGTTTTATAGGGAGTGTTGCTGTTAACAGTTCTCAGAGAGTCAAAGTTCCATTGAATGACATCTTTAGGTGCAATAGTTTATTAACTTTCAAGGTGGATTCTGTGGTCCAGAACTATTGGGATGTTCACCTCCAAGCTTTTGTTCAAAATGGCACAGTGAGTAAAGAAGGTGAGTGCTCAAAAAGTATGCATTTATATACTATGCTCTTATTTTAAGGGTTGACTGTATTATTGAGGTCATCATCTGAGAACTTTTCTTAAGGCACAGTATAAATATGTTTATATACATATCATTTTTGGTTTTTTGAGACAGGGTTCTTCTATGTTGCTTTGGAGCCTATCCTGGAACTCTCTCTGTAGACCAGGCTGGCCTCGAACTCACAGAGATCTACCTGCCTCTGCCTCCCAAGTGCTGGGATTAAAGGTGTTTGTCACTACCACCTGGCCAGTCTAAATATTTTTTAAAATGATAATAATTCTCTTTTTTTGAGACAGTGTTTTCTGTGTAGTCCTGGATGTCCTGGAGGTTTTTCTGTAGTCTAGTCTGGCCTTGAGCTCAGAGATCTGCCTGCCTTTGTCTCCTGGGACTAAAGGTGTGGCCACCGTGCCTAGTTTAAAGTGATAGACTGTTAATTTCACTTGCAAGTTTATGATACATACAAGGAGTGGTGTGTGTGAGTAAGGGGGAAGGTTGTGCACTGGAGGACAGGGGTCAACCTCAGGTATAATTTCTCAGGACCACTCCACATGAGTTTTTGACTGGCCTGGAAAGTACTGAGTAGGCTAGGCTGGCTATCTAGTGAGCTGTGGGGATCTACCTGTGGCCGGCCGCCTGCTCCCTCAGATCTGGTATTGAAAGCATATGTCTCCATGCTTATTTTCTGCAGAAGTTGTGGGGTTTTATCTCAAGTCTCAGACTTGCAGAACTAATACTTTACCAGCTGAAGTATGTCTCAAGCCTCAGCCTTAGAATGGATTTTTTTTTTTTTTTTTTGAGACAGGGCCTGGGACACTGGACTGACCTCCAACTCCCAGAGATCTACTTGCCCCTCTTTCTTTCTTAGACTGCTTGCATTAAAGCTGTACACCACCATGCTTGGTTCTGAATGGTCATTTTTGGTGTTTTAAAATCTGTATGTATGCATGTTTTGCCTGCATGTATGTCTGTGTACCACATACATGCCTGCTGTCTGATTCCCTGTAACTGGAGTTATACACAGTTGTGAGCCACCATGTGGATGCTGGGACTTGAACTCAGATCCTCTGGAAGAGCAAATAGTGCTCTTAACTGCTGAGCTCTTTATCTAGCCCTTGGACTAGTCTTTAAAAAAAAATACTTGCTATGTTTTCAGCCTAGAAAACCTGACTATTGAACAATTTCTCAAATTGCTTGGTTATGTGTTCAAAGTTTAGAAATTCGATTTCTCTGTTCTAACCTTGACCTTTTAGAAGTTGATTTTAAAATAATCTTATGTTCTTTTTTAATAGAAATGAAATAATTTCATATTCATTATTAGAAAACTACTAATACTTCCTAAGAAGGGATTTAAGTGCCTGTGACCTGCTGTAGGGATAATGGAAATAAAAGATTCCTTTGTATTCAAAACCCTTTAATGATTTCCAAACTGATTTTTAGTAAGCAGTATCCTTCCTTACAATAGTTGTATGTTGGAAGGGTAAAGACATGTTGGCTGGGGTTGGGGTTGTTTTCAGACATGCTATGACTTTCCCACCAGAGGCAGGTGAAGTTCTTTGAAATAAAGGCCTTTGTGGGCCTGAGGAAGAAGAGTACATGGCCATACTTGAGTAGCTACAACCTTCTGATGTGTTCTGAGTTTGTCTGCTCTGGTCAAAACCCACAAGAAATTATCTGTATATGAAACAGTAGTTTAAGAACCCCTGTTTCACCCACTTTAAAAATATACAACCAAGGTCTTCACTTGCTTGAATTAACACTCATAGACAGTGAAAACCTAACTCTGAGGAGTAGTTTGCTCTTCCCTGGCCTAATAAAGCAAGAATACTATCATAGCTTCTTTTATCCTTCGTTTTAGAATTTGTGTGTGAGGAAGACAAACCTGTTACTACTGTGGCACCCATCATTCACAGTACTGTGCCATCTCCTACAACAACACCCACTCCAACTCCGACAGCCATTCCAACTCCAAAGGTTGGAAACTATTCTGTTACTAATGGCAATGCTACCTGCCTGTTGGCTACCATGGGGTTGCAGCTGAACCTCACTGAAGAGAAGGTAGGGTTGTCAGTAAACCTTTAAAAAAACAAAACAAAAAAAAAACAAACTTTCATATCAAGTAATGTATAGGGGGTACCACATACTTAAGAACTATTAATAGAGTGTTTGGTGTTGAGTTTTGGTTAGTTTGGATTGATTATAACCACTAATGTCACCTTCAAGGCATCTTGGCCAACAGAAAACCTGCTGGTTGGAAAGACTTCTTTATGGTTTAGATTCTATCAGCCTTCAGGAGCTCTGCATACATAGTTAAGTTGGGAATGGGAATGGAAGCAGTTTAGTGGTAGAGCATTTGCATAACATGCACAAGACCTTAGGTGCCTTTCTAGTGCTACCATAATTAAAAATCAAACCAAAGCTCTTTCACCCTTATCTTTGAGCCACATTGTAGGTTGGTGTGCTATTTGATGAGTCACAGCCCATCACAGCCCATCAATACTTGTTTGGCTGCATTACCTCATTTGGACACCAGGGGGAGTGCCATTGAACAAATCCCATTTTCAGGACCCTGTGATTGAAACAAGCCAGACAGATGGCTCTTGTGCTCTGTAAAAATGTGTTTTTATTTAGCTCATTACTAAGGAAGCTTCCCTCTTGTTATTGTTGTTGAAGTCGGCTGAGCCATAGCTTGAGGGCTTGTGTCAAGTTCTCGTGAAAGTAAGATTGAAACAAAGGAGTTTTTGTTATACATTAAAGTTGGTTTCATCAGAGGAAAAGGCTTTGCTATGGACTTTTAGTTAACCCATACATTTCTTCTGCTTATTCTCCTGAAGGTGTCTTTCGTTTTAAACGTCAACCCCACTACAACTAACTTCACCGGAAGCTGTCAACCTCAAACTGCTCAACTTAGGCTGAACAACAGCCAAATTAAGTATCTTGACTTTATTTTTGCTGTGGTGAGTACCAACTGTTTTTTAAAGTTAAGTTCTTTCTCTGAGAAGTACATTTGAAAGTCTAAATAGTGGTAGGTTATGTGGGGGGGGGGTATTTGGATTTCTTTTCACTTTTAACACTAACTGCTATAATGTAAAGCTTGCTTATCCTTGTTCATCTCTGAGTCAGTTCGATTGTATAATGGCTGGACTCTTGTATTAACAATCACAGGAAGTTGCCATTCTGCCATTATATATACTCTAATTTAGGAGAAAAAAATGAAGTCACATTAAAAAAAAAACTGTATAATTAATTACTCCATATATAATTTTTATAATAATATTTTCTCTATTTAACAATTCTCATGTTTACACATAATATTTAAATCATTTATGTTTAAGATTCTATTCTATTGTTGTTGTTTTTTTTTTTTCAAGACAGGGTTACTTTGTGTAGCCTTGGCTGTCCTGGAACCCTTACACCAGGCTGGCCTTGAACTCACAGTGATCTTTTGATTTTGCCTCCTGAGTGCTTGGATTAAAGGCCCGTCTTAGGATTCTTTTGTTTGTTTGTTTCCAATACAGGGTTTCTCTGTGGCTTTGGAGCCTGTCCTGGAACTCACTCTGTAGACCAGGCTGGCCTCAGACTCACATACATCTGCCTGTCTCTGCCTCCCAAGTGCTGGGATTAAAGGTGTGCCCCACCAACGCCCTGCAGCATTCTTTTTTATAAAGATATATTTATTAGTATGTGCATTGGTGTTTTGCCTGCACACATGTCTGTGTGAGGTCCCTTGGAACTGAAGTCAGAAACCACTGCAAGCAGCCATGTGGGCACTGGGAATTGACCTGGGTCCTGGAAGAGCAGCTACTGCTCCCAACTACTGAGACATCTCTACAATCCTCATTAAGACTCTTTCTAATAGTGTCTGTACTAGTAACAGCTAGCATTAATGAGTGTAGTTAGCTGTTTGTTTCTCTCGTGCATATACATATTAAACCAACCTCCCGTCAATATTAAGTAAAAAGGTCTGGGGTTCAAGATTGGTTGCAGACAAGTTTGCTTTGAATGCCCAAGACCCTATAGTGAGCACAGACTTGTTATAAAATGTAAGCAATGCACTATTCCTTTTACATAGCATTTATATTTAAGGATTGTAAGTAATGTGGGGGTGATTGAAAGTATACAGAAGATGTATGTAAGTTGTAAGCAAATTGCACCATTTTGAAAAAGGGACTTGAGCATCCTAGATTTTGGTATTATAGTGGATCCTGGTGCTGATTCCCTGAGAATTTGAGGGTCAGTCTCTTGTTATATGCAGGCTCTGTGTTAAGTGCACACATTAACTCATTAAGCCAGGATCCTTTATAGTGCCAGCTTATGTTAAGATCTGACCTAGGAGCTGTTAGGCATACCTGTTCTCCTTACTAGTAGCCGTTAGTAACTGGAGACCTTAATTTCTCCCATCTCTTAAGCAATTACTAGTGGTTGTCTGTGTGTAATAGTAGCAAATGGGAATGAAGACTAGGACATAGTTTCATGTGAGGGAAAGTGGGGAATCACCACCATTCTTGGGCAGAACTGTTGTATAATTGTATAAAAACCACTGTTTTCAATCATATTAAGTAGGAATGGGGATAGAGTCTCAGTATCTGCTGTATAAGGAATAGCTATGGACAGGGAAGGAGTTATACATCTACCTATAGTGAAGCAGGAAGACTGAGAGGCCAAGGCTAGCTGGACAGTGAGGCACTGCCTCAGAAAAAAATTGTCACTTAACAAAAAATGTCAGTATATTACTTCACTAGCCTCCAGTACCACAAGAACAAGCTGTCCTTTACTCTGACTTTCAGGCGTAGCTTGTGAAGTCTGAGCTCAGCAGTAACCAGTCCATATTATTTGTAGCCAGACTTTGGGTTGAAATTCCAGCTCGACGATTACTAATTGGCAGGAATGGGAGAGGTCACTTAGCAACTCCGTGCTTGAATGACTCATTTTAAACTGGGCACAATAATGGCATCAGTGGTATAGAGGTGTTGGAGCCAGGGCTGGTGACATAGGTGTTATACTCCCAGCTATTTGGGAGGCTGAGATAAGAGGATTGCAAATTCAAGGCCAGCCTGTGCTACGAGTTCAGTGGTAGTATGGGCAATTTAGTGAGACCGTGTCTCAAAATAGCAAATAAAATGGCTGGGGACATAAAGCTCTGTGTCAGGACACTTGCCCAGTATGTGTAGAATGCTAGGTTTAATCTCCACTGTCTTGCATACAAAAAGAACAATGGTTGGCACTTCTCACTTCTCAAGTGTGTAGGTAATGCTTATTTCAGATTACCTTTTGCTTAGGCTATTATTGCCTTCTCGAATATATCCTTTGTCTACTTGTTTTGTAACCAAATTCTGCCCACCCCAAATTCCCCATCCCTCCTCAGCTCATTGGAAATAGTTTCACGCCTGACAATTTTCTTAACTTGCTACTTTCTTTTTGTAACAGGCTTAGCTTATTTGTATATCTTTTCTTTCCAGTCCAGGGTCAGTGTGGTTGGCGTGGGAACAGAACTCCATGTCTCATAAATGTTAAGCAAGCTCTCCACCACTGAACTATATCTTTAATTTCTTATGTATTTATCTTATGTTCCTTGGCAGATTATAAGCACTAGGAGGGCAAGATACAAGTCTGTTTCAGTTTATTAGTTCCATGGATCACTTAGATATGTTACTTGTTATAAGCTAAGCACTTGTATTATTAGAATGGCTGGTTCATCAGTTGAATGTTTCAGAAAGATAATAGATAAAGAGGGGAGGCTAAGTAGCAGGATACTGGGTAAGATACAGTAAGTGTTCCTCACCACAATGGAATTAGACTAGTTCAGAGTCTATATTTTATGAAGATCTAGAAAAGGGCACATTGGCAGTTCTAAGATGAAGGGAATGCCAATTACCCTTATTTGGTTAGTGCACACTGTATACATGTGTCAGGATACCACACCGAGCCCCATTAATACATATAATTAAGTGCTGGATGATGGTGGCAAACACCTTTTACTTCAGCACTTGGGATGCAGAGACAAGTGGATCTCTGTGAGTTCAAGGCCAGCCTGGTTTACAGAGAAAAATTTCAGGACAGCCAAGACTACCTGGAGAAACCTTGTCTCAAAAAAACAAAACAAAACAAAACAAACAAACAAAAAACAAGCAAAAAACAAAGGCAAGATGGGTGAGTGGGTAAAGACACTTGAAGACACTTGCTGCTAAGCCTGATGATAATTTGAGTTCCATCCCCAGAATCAACATGGTAGAGGTTGAGAACCAAATCTGATGAGTTATCCTCTGACCTCCACATATGCCACGGTATGAGTTCATGCATCCACATACACAAAATAAACAACTGTAATGAAAATTTTAGTGGACAAACATTGGGCTGATGATGTCCTTATGTGCAGTAAGCCTGTAAGCCCTGGGTTCCAGCAAAAATAAAATGCAAAGGTAATAGAATTGGAAAACCAATATGGTGACCAAACATGGTAGCTAATAATAATTGAAATAAGAGAACATCACTGGAGGATCTGAAAGCAGTGCACACAGTTAAAAGGTCACATTGTAAGCCTGGTATGGTGATATACACCTTTATCCCAGCACTTACTTAGGAGGCAGAGGCAAGCAGATCTTGGCGTTTAAGGCCAACCTAGTCTACAGAGTGACCAGACAGCCTTGGACTTCCAGGATAGCCAGGACCACACAGAGAAACCCTGTCTCAAAAACAAACAAACAAACAAACGGTCACATTGAGACCTAGGTTACATAGTATGGACTCAGAAAGTGACAAGAAGAATAAAACAGAGGAAATGAATCATCCTATGTCCAGGAATTCCTGAGTACTGTGCTCAAAGAGTTTAGAAATGAAATGCAATAGAAAATGGTTTTGTTCAAATTAGTGAGAAGACGAAAGTTGTAGTCTATACTGCTGGCTGATATCTTATGGTTTCCTCATCTGTATAACAGTACTAGATTGCTATTCTGCAGATATTAATTGTTTCTTTAGACAGATATGATATGTTATTAACTGGGAACTTTTTTGAACAGAAAAGTGAAAACCGTTTCTATCTGAAGGAAGTTAATGTCAGCATGTATATGGCTAATGGCTCAGGTAAGCACAGCATTGTCCTGGGGGAGAAGAGTGTGGGTTTTATGGAAGGAGTAGAAATGATAATTAGTTTATGGCCAGGTCATGTCTTATGAAACAGAAGATGCTATGTAAAAAGTATTCTTGATTACACTTTAGAATTTAATGTAGAACTAGACTGTTCTATGTAGTGTAGAACTATAGTGTATCACTTGTAGAATCATCTTATCAGCAGAATCATCTTTTCAAAGTGTGGTGGATAATTGTTAATGAAATGCATGGATTTTAGACTACAGTAGCATTGATGGAAAGACTAGGGAGAAGTGGATGGGGTGCTGCATTCCTGGAATTGTAGCCTTGGGAAACAGGGACAAGGAGGGTCATATGTTTGAGGACAGCCTTGGATGCATAGTGAGCCCTAGGTCAGTTTGGGCTATATAGTGAGGTCCTCTCTCAGAAACCAAACAGAAGAAAACAAACAAGTTAAGTGAACTTTGTAATGGCAAGAGTTGCTTTTTGGGAGTCAGAGCCTGACTCCAAACTGCTGTGTTATACTAAAACCCCTTCCTACCCCAGTGACCGTCTCATTTTTCTTATGTTGATAGATTAAGAAGTTAACTAGCCTGTCTTTTTTTTTTTTCTGCAGTTTTCAGCACTGCAAATAACAACCTCAGCTTCTGGGATGCCCCTCTTGGAAGTTCTTATATGTGCAACAAAGAGCAGGTTATTTCAGTGTCTAGAATGTTTCAGATAAACACCTTTAACCTAAAGGTGCAACCTTTTAATGTGACGAAAGGAAAGTATTCCACAGGTAAGAAGCAGGCAAACTTTATTTACTACGTTTTTCTGTTACCTTATAGGTGGCCTTTTCCTCTGAGTCGCAGGTATTCTGTACATGCACATAGAGAAATACAAATTCCTCTCTTGATTCTGATAGAAAGTTCTCAGAGCATGGGACAAATTGTGTAACTTCATTTGACTCGTCATTTTGCTCAAAGTAGATGTAATTTTTGAAAATCTGAAACTCATTTTAAGAAACAGGTGCTCCCTTAGGGTTGAATTTGGGGAGGGGTAGCACTTGGAGCAGCAGCTGTAAGCAACTTACATCTGCCTTCTGGGGGACCATCTTTGGAAACGTTTCCATACCCAAATGAAAGCAATTTGCTTTGATTTGCTTAAGACACAAGATAAAGGGTGGTAGTGGTAGCAAAGCCTCACAGCCCATGAATTCTAGTCTGCTAGCCAAAATGACATCGACAGTCCTTAAAGCGAGTCTTAGTTCAGATAAGGCTTTCTGAAACCTACTTTGTTTGGGCTAATGATGGCCTTTACCAGGTTTTTAATGAAATCTTAGTGGAGGGTTCATTATATATTGTATTTTTGTGAATATGAAAGATGTATTTGGCATTGCAGATTAAAATTTTCATGACAGAGAAAATGTACAGCCAATTCCTTAAGTGACTTACGTTTTTAAACCAATTACTTAAAATTGGGGGTTTGTGGAGCAGAGCTTTGTTGAGCAGAACTATTCCAGTCATCCCCATCCTTTCAAACAATTAATCTAGAGGTTTGTAAGTAAATGGAGAAACTGTGATTAAAGTGAATATGCTGTGAACTATTTCAGCTGTGAACTATTTGCTACATATACATAGTTGGCCTTGCTTGGGTCACTTTACCATGCCATTCTTGTGGGAAGAAAGGTTATTCACAACTTCAAAAATTAAGACCCCCATTTGCTCTGCCAGGAGTGGTGACATGCTTATAATCATAGTACTCAGGCAGTCAAGGCTGGGGTATCTGGAATTCAAGGTTATCCTTGGCTACATAGTCAGTTGGAGGTTAGCCTGGGGTATATGAGATCATGCCTTAAAACAAACAAACAAAACCCCCCCAAAAAAATCAAACAGAATTCAATTCCTTCCTGTGTGTTTGTTTTGCTTATTACTTTGTTTTGATCTTGTAATAGATTTATTTTTTAAATCTTCATCTATCTCCTCTACATCATTACCCTAATTTGAGGTCCAAATTTGTGTTTAGAATTTAAAATCATCTGCAGTATTATTCTCAGTTCAGGTCTGTTCATCTAGTTGGCAGTGGCCCGAGATGAGCTATGCTCTTTGCCTAATTTGAAAGTTTGGGGGCCTGAGAGATATAGAACGTTTAATGCTGATATTGAATGCCTGATCTATTTATGGAACTAGGTTCTTGGTTGTGGGTAACTATAAATATAACACCCAGGTAATACGTAAGTGTATTCAGGGAGGAAATAGAATTGCAGTCAGTTTGAAGAGTGTTGATTGGATTTTTTAGATCAGACTGCTTGCTATAAATAGAAAAAAAATAGCCCCTCTGGCCTGCTCTTCTGAGCCAGATTGATAAAACACGTAGTAAACACACTCAATTTAGTAAGAGGTCCTGATTTCTTAAAACTCTTCACATAGTTTAAGCCAATGACATACAAGCTTTTTGAGAAAACAGTCTAAATTGATTTCTCAAGGTTTGAGGTCATATGGTGTGTGTCACAACTCTTTAACTCTGCCATTGTATTTTGGAAAGCACTCTAGGCAATTCATACAGATGAGTGTGGCTGCATTCCAGTAAAATTTTAGGGATATAGAAATTTGAATTTCATGTAATTCTCATATTTCACAAAAGACTGTTTTCTCTTCCTGTCATTTAAAATTGATTATTCATGTTATTTTTAGCTCTTCAGCCAGGTTTGGCCCATGGGCTGTAGTTTGCTGACCCCCATTGTTAAAGAACTCCAGAGCCAGCAATTGCCCAGTCCAGTGATAACCTGGTGTTCTCTATCTCCCCAGAGATGGACATTTTTCCACTTGGGTTAAACTGGTTCTGTAGACATGGGCTGGTTTAGGTCTCTTCTTTTCTGATAAAATAATTTTCTTATATTAGAAGTGTATAATGAATGCAGTGTGTGTATATCATATGATACATGGTTTTACTTAGAGCAATAAATGAGTATAAATTATTCACACATATGAATATTTTCTTATATACTTACAAATGAAAGGACAAATACACTTTAGGATTTTAGTTTTAACCAGTCATCACTTTCTATACTTTATCATAAAAATATGCCTGCCTTTGTTAATTAAAATTTATTTTATAAGAGAATTTCTGACTTTGAATCAACATCTTTTACTTTTGGACATTCTTTTTTTTTTATTATACTCATTATTTGTTACACACTTTTTCTCACCTACAGCCCAGGAGTGTTCGCTGGATGATGACACCATTCTAATACCAATTATAGTTGGTGCTGGTCTTTCAGGCTTGATTATCGTTATAGTGATTGCTTACCTAATTGGCAGAAGAAAGAGTTATGCTGGATATCAGACTCTGTAACACTAATCCACATGTTACAAATCTCTGTTACAAAATAATAAAGCAAATACAAGTTCCTGTATGCAATACTATTGAAGGTACACTTAGTTACAGTCCTGCTCTTAGATTGGGTGGAATGGTAGATTTCAAACTTAACAATAGAATCCCAAATACTAGCAACTACAAGTGCGAGTTTGGTTTCCCTGACCAAGGAGTTTAAAACTTCTATAGCAAAAGGCATGTACAAAATTACCTGGGCTACAGGTTCTGTCTCACTGGCTGGAATTTGTATCTCAGTGTCTGACTTACAAATTTTGACAAGAATGTACAGTGTAGGAAAAAGCAGGTTTTCTCTGCCTGCATGAGGTTGACTTTGAACAACATGATCTCCAGAATTTGTACTTGCTCCTTTTGTATTATTTGTGACTTTTGTTTGCAGGTTGACTTAGCTACTTTGGCATTGCTCCATATTTGACCTGTGAAAAAGGTATCAGTAGATTTGAGCAGAGCCCAGCAGTATCACGCTCTTGCCAGTAAAATCCTTTTCTCATGCTTTTTGAATACATTTGTATTTAATGTGGCTGAAATGACAAAAACACAAAAGCTTTTAAAATTTTAGAATAGATGTTAATCTTTTTATTTAATCTTTTTTTTTAAAAAAAAAAACTGGATATTTCAATCTTTTAAATTGCAAGACACAAGGCAATTCCAACTGGGTATTTCAATGTTTTTAGGTGCTTTAAAGATAATTGCTAGGCAGTGCCAAATGAGGGCATTAGTGCTTTGTACCCAGAAATTTGGCCTCTACATGCAGCACTAAGATGAATGCAGATTTCTCTTGAACCCTGCAGTCTTCCTTGTTGGTGGTAATGTCCTTTGTTCTGTCCTTTTTCTTCAAGAAATGTCAGTATGTCTTAGAACCTAGATAACGAAGTGCACTTACACTCATAAAATAGCTTGCACCTAATCCAAAAGTCATGGTCTTGCCTTAGTCCATTAACACAGTCTTCATTTCCAGTTTGCATTGACTGCTACAACATTTACTAATTTCACTTCATGTTTAAATGATTCTGTGATAATCAAAACTTACATTGTTACTGTTCACTGTAGTAATTTTGTCTTCAGTTTTGTACTCAGAGAGGGCACCAGTTGTCCATTTGCTATGCATCACCTAATGCTTATATGAGAGCAAATTATTTCAGACTGATACTTAACACATCATGTATTCCTTGCAGCTTCTAGGAGATCTTTCATACGTATATGCATATGTACATGCATGCACACATACATAAATATTGGTATGACTCAGCCATATTTTCTGCAGCCATATGTAGAAGGTTCTGATTATTTGAGGAGGGCAGATTATACACTTTTCATTCACCAGAAGATGAAGCACTGTCTGGGTTTCAAAATACTAATGTTGAATACATGGTACATATACATACACATATAGGCAATTGCATGTTAGCATGTGAATGTCTGTAACTGTCCTTTGAGTTATATAGAAGGGACAGAGATTGTATCACTTTAAACTTTCTATATCCAATTAGCCTGAAAACCTTATTGGTTCAGAATCATATTCCTGACTAACCGTCTCCTAGAGCAACAGGGAACTGCATGGCCAGCTTAAAACACTTGTTAGGAATGAAATGGGAATCTAATTTTAAAAATATTTTTCCATTTAAACTGTGTTTTAGCATAAGCTTGTTAATTTTAAAAGAAAGGATTATGCTCTTAAGAACACAGGTATTAGACCTTTGTCATGAATCAACAAGACAGCGTTTAAAAAGACTAATTGGAACAAGTGGGTGGCACTGGCTTTAATGCTGTTAATGTTTCTAAAAGTTTTTACATTTAGTTTATATACTGACTGGGTTCATATTAAAATACATCCAAAGCACTGTTTTATAGAAAGATCCAACTTCAATAAATATTTTTGTATTTTACATGGGCCAGTTTATGTACTGCTATTTACACTTTTATTTCCTATGGACACACTATCTTTGTATCTTTTGTATTTTTGTTTTGTTTGTTTTGTTTTACCAGTTTTGCGCCTTGATCATAATACTCTGTTTGGTTTGGGATGTGTTTCCATGCTTTAGCACTTATATAAGAAACTGGTCCATGTAAGTACTTTCCATGTTTTTTTTTTCTTCAAATGTTTAAAGTGCTAGTTGATGTACCATATTTCTTCTCAGATATTTGCCTGTCTGTTTGCCCAACATTGCTTCTAAATCAATAAAGATCTTTTATTTCTTAAGGAAATTTGCTCACATTTTTTCCCATTGTTAAAGTGAAGATTTTGTATACTGGACGATGGCAGTTTCAACAGAAAAAAAAATGACCTTAGAAGAAGTGCTTAAGGGTAGAACTAGACTGTGTTCAATATATTTTGTCTGTGTGCTGCTCTGTCTGGAAAGAAAGTCCCATATGTTTGGCTTGACTGACGCAAGGATGGCTGCAGAATAAGAATTACCTGAGACATACTTCTTTATCTAGGCTGCAGGTCTGTGATAAGGAGTATGTGTGTGTGTGTGTGTGTGTGTGTGTGTGTGTGTATTTCTTCCACATGTGTGCATGTAAGCACCTTTGTTGAGTCAGATTCACAGCTAGTGAGGAAAATAGGTTATTTGCTTCATATTAAAAGCTTCATAGCATCTTTTTGGTACACTTTTGTTGACTCCTAAGTTGAGACTAGCATTTCAAATCCAATCTTTCTCTTAGACTATCTCCCCAAAATCTCCATGTAATTTCTCTGTTCATATTAATATGTCATACAAGACAGTTTAGCAACCAACTGGCAGGTTTCTCCTAGATTCTCGAGGTAAACCTCAGGGGTTACAGTTACCACAGTTCTCAACATGATTGTTAGCTACCATGAGACTTGGACCAAGTTGCTGAAATTCTTCAGGGTTGGTAGCCTCACAGTTTCCTTCATCTAGGGATTAGAGGCTTGAAAATTGTGCTGCCACTTACTTTTAGTAGTACCTTCCATTTCAGAAAAGATAAATACGCCATTGAGTATTTTAGAAGGAACCCGCTAAGAAGCCATATGGTTTATTTCAAGTGCATACTTAAACTCAGTGAACCATGCACTATCTTAGATTTCCTGCATCTTGCCAGAAGGAATTCTTGGAAGACTCATCTATTTTTAAGATTGTAGCACTTCATCTATTTGTTTAGGTAGATAAAGTAGTCTTGGATTCATTTCTTTTCCACTTACCTCCTTTTCCTTTACCTGGGTAGCTAAATTCCTTTTTGATCATTATATTTTGTCTTTGAAATTGGTGTAGACATGTTATACTGAATAGCTTCAAATATGTTGTGAGTGTACATGTGCGTGTACTTGGATGTATGTATTGTGTGTGTGGTTGTCTGCATGTACGAATGTGAAGGCCAGAAGACTATATCAAGGTCAAGTTTCTTCCTGTGTGCTTTCCATCTCACTGTTTTTCAGACAGCTTCATTAACCTGAAGCTCACTGTTTTCGCTATTCTCTTGGCCAGAGCGCTCCTGGTTCCATTATCTCACCCCCTAGTGCTGACCTAGAGTTGGAGATGCACACAGTGGATGCTAGGCATCTGAACTTAGTTCTTCATGCTTACATGACATGCACTTTACCCACGGAGCCCTCTCTCCTGTGCCAGTCTCAAGTGTTTGTTCAGTTTTGTGTGATGTACTTGAAATGTTTTGAATGTAGATCTAAAAGATACATAAATAAGATGCTATATTAGGTGAGTCACGAAATGACTCTTAAAAAAAAGAACTTAAGTAGTTTTTAAAAGGAGTTTCATATTTTGTTACAGATAAAGTGTTTTCTAATTCTTAGACTGAAATTATCTTCGAAAGATCTCTGAGTAGAAAATTGAAGATTGGCAGGTTTTTTTTTTTCTCTAAGTAACTTCAGTTAAATTTTAATGGCCATGAAACTTTTTAATATTTATTTATTTATTTATGTTTTTGAGACAGGGTGTCTCTGTGTTTTCTTTGGAACCTGTCTTATAACTTGCTTTGTAGATCAGGCTGGCCTTGAACTCACAGAGATCCTCCTTCCTCTGCCTCCTGAGTGCTGGGATTAAAGGTGTGCACTACCACTGCCCGGTATCTTTGAAACTTTTATTGCTTCTGTGGCTTGGAATCTTTTTCCACAGGATTGGGGGTATGTGAGTTATAAAGCACTTTCTTAGCATGTATCAATTCCCAGTGCTGGGCATACGGGATCTCAACAGTTAGACAACATGCCTTTAATTGCAGCACTTGGGAGAACAAGGCAGGCAGATATCCCTGCAAATTCAAGTCTGGTCTGGTCTGCATAGTGAATTTAAGGTCAAACATGGTGACACACTGAAACCCTGTCTCAAGAAAATCCCACAAATGGTTTATTTCCTTTCTCAGGAACATTTTTATTATAGTATTAAGTGTACATTAAGCAAATAGCTGAGGTCAAATTGACCTACATAATGAGTGTTTCTTTTCTTCAGGACACAGTCCTATTAATATTAACCATTTTAGTGGTGGAGCACACTTATAATCTTAGCACTTGGGAGGTGGAGGCAGGAGACCAGGATTTCTAGGTCATCCTTGGCCACATAGTGAATTTGAGGCCAATCTGGACTGCATGAGACTGTTTCAGAAAAAGAACAAATAGTAAAACAATTGCTTTAAAAAAATCAGAATTTGTTTCAGTTACCTACATACTCTTATAGTTGAATTCATAAAATCAATAGTTATTATAATAAATTAGTATTTCACATACTAAGTGAGCATTTTAAGTAAATGACAGAATCTAGAAAGATCTTTGTATTAGTGGAATTGCCTTTTTGATCTGCTCTGGGAATATTTGTCTTACATGAAAGCCTTATTGGCAGTATTTATGAAAGTCATCTTAGTACTAGGTCAAACACCCAAATTTGGGAACGAGAGGACTGTTGAGACTTTTGCCAAAATAAGAAATTAATCTCCTAATGAAATTTTGGAAATCCAAAAGGCATTAGATGTAAGGCATAATACTTTATACCATAATACTTTTTGTATGTGCAGCCTAGTAGTTTATAGGCTAAGTGGTAATTTGGGAAATTGAAGGGGCAGAGCTAACTGGGAACTTTAGTAGCATCTGTTCACAAGTCAAATGCAGCATTGTTAACTCTCTGGACTCTTAATAGAACCCAGTTTAGAATGACCACGAAGTTGGCAGCCAGAGTTAATGTCAGACTGTCTATAAACTCCAGGGTTACATCTTGTTTCCAGTTATCACCCTAGAGGCTGGCTGTCAGAAAAGAGGTTGGCACATTTTGTGGTTGCCAGTCATGGTCAGGAAAACTTTTCATTCTTTTTGTCTTATGTGTATGAGTGTTTTGCCTACACATATGTCTGCACCACTTGTGTGCTCTTTCAGTGTGGAATGAAGAAGAGCTCATTAGATTCCCTGGAATGGGAGTTGCAAATGGATCTGAGCTGCCACATGGATGCTGGGAATCAAATCCAGGTCCTCTTGAAGAACAGTTAGTGTTCTTAACTCCAGTGCTGTTCATTCTTATTTTGACACAATCCTAGTAAAGTTGTGATGTATCAGCCTCTGGTAGAGTCCAGTCCTGGGAGAAGAACTGCAGGCAACACCAGATGAGGCAAGGGAATGGGGAATGCTGAGAAGTGGTGTTTTAGCGTCCTGATCATCTTTGTGAGTCTTTGCAAATGTCCTTTCTATCTCTTCATCTTTCCCTGCAGTCATGGTAGGTTTTTGTTTTTGTGATCTCATTTCTCACATGTCCCAGGAAACCCTTCATTGAACATCTTCAGCATGTTCTTGCTCTTTTAAAAACATTATTTGTTTGTTTTCCTTAAATGTAACAATGTCTTCAAATTGATACCGGGTCTAAACACTGCCATGTTTTTATAAAGGGAACCTGTTACTCCATATCTTTTCTTTAATCTGCCGAGACAACACACAGAACACACCTTCTAGCAAGTTCCACTTTGTCCATGAGACAGTGGGGGAGAAAAATTAGCCTCCCTCTTTATAAACATTTTCCTTCCCCCTTTATCCTATCTTACAGACATAGTTATCTATTTCAGATGCCACCTCTTCCTTATGTTCTGATTGTATGTACCTTCATGTGTTCTCTGCACCTTTAATTTATACAAATGACTTGCTTCTCCTTAGTCCTCAATGCTGTGACTGATCACTAGCTATTCTCTTGCCATTCACTTGTTTTTGCAGCAGTTTGACTCATACCTTATCCTCCACATGGCTGGATCCAACATATGTTGTTTCAGAATTCTGTAATATATTAAACTCTTCTCCCACGCTAATTGGAGCTCTCCCTTTCCTAAGCTGCCACGCCATCTTCCGCCTGCCTTTTCTACATCTCAAATATTAGTATTCCTGGTGTTTTCTCTATGGACCCATTTCATTGTCCTTGTGCCAGTTTATAGGCATTTCGGCAGGAACCCAGATATTTTGTTTTGTTAGTGTTTAAAGAAACCACACAGGGTGTAGGTTTTCATTCCATTTTCCCACACACCCATTCTTGCTGATGCTCTTTCCTCTTCCCTCCCTCTCCTGCTTTCATGTCACATATGTTGTCTCACATCCTTCCTCCCTTACAAATAGCTTCCCCCACCTATGAAAGTACAGTATCTGAATATGAGAGAAATCACGTGGGATTTGTCTTTAAGTCTGGCTTATTTGGCTTACCATGCTTATTGTGATATATCACATTTCCTTCAGACGGAATGATTTCATTTGCGTTGTGTCTATGACCACATTTTCTTGAGTCACTTTTTTTGTAGGCATGTAGGCTGGTTCCCACTATGTATTTGTTGACTGCTATGTACAGCGAAGCAGGTAGGATAGACCCCTTTAGGTGTGTACTCAGGAATGGTATACCTGGGGACACAGATATCTAAAATTTCATCCAAACTGAGTATCTCCCTCTCTTAACCTCCTTCACTCCATCCCACTCATCCTCAATAACTACAAGTACAGCGAGACTGCAATGAATTCACATTTCTTTCTTTTGGATTACTGTCAGGATTGACAGCACCAGCATTTCTGTAACCACTCAAGTGTAGAATTGGAAAACATCCTGTTATTGTAGTCTTTTTTTTTTTTTTTTTTTTTTTTTTTTTTTTTTTTTGGTCAAGTTTTTACATCCATTTTTGTCAAGTTTGCCCTTTAAATGGATCTGTGGTCTCTCCCCTTTGCATGTACACTTCATTAACTCGGTTCAGGAAAATTATGTTTGTCACTCAGATGCTAGCAATAG